ACACACACACACACACACACACACACACACACACACACACACACACACACACACACACACACACACACACACACACACACACACACACACACACACACACACACACACACACACACACACACACACACACACACACACACACACACACACACACACACACACACACACACACACACACACACACACACACACACACACACACACACACACACACACACACACACACACACACACACACACACACACACACACACACACACACACACACACACACACACACACACACACACACACACACACACACACACACACACACACACACACACACACACACACACACACACACACACACACACACACACACACACACACACACACACACACACACACACACACACACACACACACACACACACACACACACACACACACACACACACACACACACACACACACACACACACACACACACACACACACACACACACACACACACACACACACACACACACACTAAACGGTTATAATTTCGCACAAAAGAATTAAACTAGCGATAAACTTTAGCTAATTTTAATTTAAAATTAGCATGTCTTTTTACACTTTTTATTTGCGGTCTTAACACGATCCCGATATATCAGTTATTTTTACGAAAATCGTTGTCCCAGTTCACCCCTTGCCATTTTCTTCGCCGTTACAATGATTAGAATTTTCTCGATTCTAATAAATTCTTAGAAGTTAACGAAAGATTATATTTGTGTGTCTCTACGTCTACTCGAATGCTGAATTGTTAATGTCAAAAGAACCGAATTTTATTCCGGCTAAAAGAAAGAACGGAATAACATCAGGTTATGTCGAGGTTATTTATTTAATAGGTTACTATTAATTAATTATTATTATTTATTAGTATTAACTTTTTATTATTATTTATTATTATTAATTTATTAAGACATTATTACCAGATAGTGAATCTTCATGCGAAATAAAAATAATCTGCAGCAATTGTATATACAAAACAAAATATCAATCAAATAAAAATATATTCTATCTCTTAACAGTTTTAATGAAATAATGTAACAATATTTATAAACTCTCGTCTAGTTATTAGTACTAGAAATTTCCATTACGAGTCGTGTTAAAAAGCTGGATGAAACGGAAGATCGACAAATAAAAATTGGCGTATATTCTTACCTGTTCCGTTGGAAGGTGTTCCAGCCGAGGGACCGAATCGGACCCATCGCTAGCCGGCACAGGTACGAGGTTTCCGTAACGCACGTCCGCTGGGCCCGCCACCACCATCGCCGTCTTCTCCGAGCGTGCCTCCTCCACCCGGTCAATTTTACCACCACCTTCGTGCTACCTGGCCGGGGAACACCACCTAGCCACCTTCCCGGCCGGGGGAGAATACGCGCCTATATAACTACGGCGTTCCGCTGATTGGACGAAGTAAGTTACGTTTTCCTGCACTTAGGGAACAAGAGTACGCGGCCCGAGCCCGACGGGCGGCATTGCGAGAAATATGAGGATCCGCTCGGGATGCGCGGTTAGTTTGCACCATTCACAAATAAGTTTACCAACCACCGTTTATCTCGTCCGCGAATATCCTCCGTTCCGGGTGCACGCGGGAACCGGACGTACGAAGTATCATTTTTCCGGTGCCATTTTGTCGGCGACCTTTTTCACGGTGCCGTTTTGGGACACGCGGGACACGGTGAAGCTTCGAGACAATTGTATCTGGAGTAAGTAGTGTGTGATCCGATCGACATATATACAGTGGCTCTTGGTTCTGTCGACGGCTCCGCTCGGAAATGGTACCTTTTTACGCTGCCACGATTCCCTGGGTACTTCATACTCCAGATACTTTGTTGGAAGCGTCGGATCTCGGTATTTAAATATAACATTTGTTCGTCGTGTAATCATCCGCATTTCCGTCGCACTTTTAGAACAAAGAAGTTACCATTGTTACCATTGTTACCATTGTTTGTCTCTTTCGTACTTCACTGTCTTTCGGTAAAAGCAGCCGCACCGTTGTTTGGTTTCTCGATGAAACATTATCGCCTATTTATCGTGTATTCTAGCCTATTTTTCACTTTTTTTTTATTATAAGCTTTCAAATCTCAGATGAGATTTATTCATAGTAAAGCGAGTGTACTTAATCGTAAACCTTAAAAATAGTCATTCGCGAGTTATTTATATATTTATATTACATGTTTTCAAGAATAACAGGGCACAATATTCTATTATTTATTTAGTCGTTTCGGTTTAAGGAATTATGAATAATTTGCGATTCGATCGACGCAGCGTGACCTATCTTTCGTCCTAGTAACTTCTCGAGATTCTCGGGGGCACGCTTGTTATTCCAGCATCATCCCGTTCCGATTCTCTGTATCAGAGTCTCCTTGTTCGAGGACAAACGTAACGCTGCCCCGTGTTTCGCGTCGACGCTCGTGACACAAATATATTAATACGAAACAGTGAAACCCGTTGCGAAAATATGGAGCCCGGCTCGCGGCGTATGTCGTGCACGAACGGCCCCACCGGTCCACTCCGAATCGAAAGTCTCTCTGTTTTTTTGAGAACCGTTCGCATCCGCGGAGAATCCTAAACGTTGTTAACGCTTTCTTTTACTTTAGATTCCGATCGTCTTGACCGGTCCGTCTCGCACGGTAATCGAACTCTGTTCCGGAACATTTCAAGCATTGTTACAGATCCGTTCGGCCGACTGAGAGAGGCTTCGTAATAAGTTCCGCATCGTTTACGCCGAACTTGGAAGGTGCTCGGTCGTAATTTCGGTACAGTTACTTACTCGCGATGCTCGTTCTTACGCGCGATACAGTCGGTGTACTAAAAGAAAAAAAAGAGAAAGAAAACGAAGGAACTTCTCGCGGTCGTCGAGACGATACTGGCCGAGACCTTGGAATCTTCCGAGAATTCCACTTTTTCACTTTTCACTTTCGAGAATTCCATTTTTCGAGAGTCTCGTGTTCGTGGGAAATTTCGTAAACCAAATAGAAAGCATCGATTCCATTTTCTTCTGGAAACGATCGCTTTATCTTTCAAATTTGCTCTTCGAGATCCGACCGGTTTCTAGAAATCCTCTCGCATCGTTGTCGACTGTTTACAATTTTTAAATGGCCGAGAGAAATGTTTCCAGTTCGGAAACGAGGCGAGTGACCGGGAGAGCGGGACCGCGAGGCGGTTCGTTGTCGCTCGCTGTTTGTCGGCAAACGTATAACTTGATTATCGATCAACAGCGAGATTCGAAAGCGACGAGCCGCGAACACGCGAGAATTCGCATTCACCGCTGTTCCATCAATACGGAGTGATTCCTTCACACAACTGGCGCAAACAAACTCGTGTGCGTTTAGCTCGGTGTACAAATATGCACTACCGATTCGCAAACACCGGCGCCAACGAAAAACTCGCCGTGCTAAATGCTGCGTGTTTACCGTCGCTTGTCTCCCGTTCGACGATAAAAAAAAACCCTATAATCTCCGCGCGATTATATTGTTCACAGGCTGCGCTAGTTGTGCTACTGCAGGCCGTTCTTGTGGCGAGCAAAGCGTTGGATCAGAATCAGTTGCAGCAGCAGTCTCAGCAACAGTCTCAGAAACAAATACCGTACGTATATTTTCATCTTTGATTCGTTCTAACGATCTGTCACATTAAACCACGTCATTTTGCACCGATTGTAATTTTTGTTGTTGTACAAAAGTATCGCAAGCATGCTCTTGCAAATGGTTTGGCACTAACCCCACACGAGAAATAGTTGCAAAAATTTGTTCGACCAAATGCATTCGATCTCGCAATTGTTACAAAGTAGCATGTTTTAGACAATTTTACAATAGGCTTGTTTAATGTTATAATCTATCTCCACGCGAGAAATAGTTGCAAAACTTTGTTCAACCAAATCCATTTGATCTCGCAATTGTTACAATGCGAAACGTTTTAGGGGAAATTGTCCCTAATTAACGCTCAGCTTGTAAACAAAACTGCACAATTTGGGAAGAAGGGGTGCGATTATTCCAGCCTTGCGACTCGTTTTTATTGACACGCGATTACTGTAAAAATTTCTTCTTTTCCCAAACTGTCTATTTTTCTGTACAATCTGAGAGTCAATTAGGGAGACTTTACCGTACTTTTACAATACGTTTGTTCGGTGTTAAATAAAATCGATATCAGTCGAATGCAGTCGTTCGAATGCAAATGATTCTGCGTTTCTTAAGCACACATTTGTGTGATTTCGAGTTAATTTGTCTCTGGTTCTCACGAGAAACGCGTCGAAACTGTGAGACGTTCTCACATTCGGCGCCATCGCGTTGCATAGAAGAGTCGCATAAAACCTGTTCAACAGCAGGAATGTCTGTTTTATTGTCGGAAAGTAGACTGCTCGGGGTATACTCGTTACAGTAAATTCTCTCTAATTGTCTCTGTAATTGTGCACAAAAATGGACAATTTGGGAAGAGGAGATACGATTATTCGAGCCTTACGGCTCGTTTTTATAATTGTGGCAATTTATAATTATAAAAATAGACCGCAAGGCTCGAATAATCGTACCTCGTCTTCCCAAATTGTCCATTTATGTGCGCAATCAGGACGTCAATTAGAGAGACATTACTGTAACTATAAAATCTTAACTATATATACATATAACCTTAACTATATAACGTCGGTAACTATAATCATTTGTGTACAATCACAGCGTCAATTAGGGATATAAAATCCACTGTATTCGCGAAACGAACATATTTCGCGAGGCTCGCATCGCTTGTCGATTCGCATGCGCGATTAAGAAAGCAACGATCGTTGGTGCTAATTATCCACTCACTGTCATAATTAACGGGAGAAAGACGAAGCCATTCAACAACAGTTTATCTTCGCAGGAATCTATCGGGTCTATTATAAATTCCTGTTTCACGAGATTATTATTTACTTAATTTTACGGTTTCGGTCATAATCATCGACGCCGATCACCCAATTCTCTCGCCCAGTTTTTGCATTTGAATCATGGCGACGTTGCTCCGTCTCTCTCAGGTACGGAACAGCGGCCCAGAAGCGGTGGGGCGATGACTTGGGAGGCGGCCATGGCGGCGGTGACCTTAGCGGTTACGGCGGTGACTTTGGCGGCGGACACAGCGGCGGCGACTTCGGCGGTGGACACGGCGGCGGAGGCGACTTCGGCGGTGGACACGGCGGCGGCGGCGACTTCGGCGGTGGACACGGCGGCGGTGGCGACTTGGGTGGCCACGGCGGCGGTGGCGACTTGGGTGGTCACGGCGGCGGCGATCTAGGTGGCCACGGCGGTGGTTTCGGTGGCGATATCGGCGGTGGTTACGGCCATTCCGGCGGTGGCGACATCGGCGGAGGTGGTTTCGGCCATTCCGGCGGCGGCGACATCGGCGGCGGTTATGGTCACTCCGGTGGCGGCGACATTGGCGGCGGTTTAGGCCATTCCGGGGGCGGAGACATCGGCGCTTTGGCCCATTCCGGTGGTGGCGGCGACCTTGGCGGCGGTTACGGCCCTTCCGGCGGCAGCGGCGGCGGCGGCGGCGGGGGCCTCGACGATCACCACGACGATCACCATCACGACCACCACGATAAAGGCTACTGGAAGAAGAAGCTGATCTGGAAGCCCGGCTGGAAGAAGATCTGGAAGCCGGCGAAGAAACAGATCTGGAAGCCCGCGTGGAAGAAGATCTGGAAGCCGATCTGGGTACCGACGCAGAAGGCGGTGTGGAAGGAGATCCAGGTGCCGGCCTGGAAGAAGATCTGGAAGCCGGTGTGGAAGGAGATACAGGTGCCCGTGTGGAAGGACATCCAGGTGCCGGCTTGGAAGAAAATCTGGAAGCCAGTCTGGAAGCCGATCCAGGTGCCGGCGTGGAAGGATATCCAGGTGCCCGCCTGGAAGAAGATCTGGAAGCCGGTCTGGAAAGAGATCCAGGTGCCCGCGTGGAAGGAGATCCAAGTGCCGGCCTGGAAGAAGATCTGGATACCCGAATGGGTCAAGGTCGGCATACCCGGGGAGCATTACCACGGCACCGACCATCACGGCTGGCAGTACACCAGCCACGACCTCTGGAAGAAGAAGCTGATCTGGAAACCGTTGTGGAAGAAGTACTGGAAGCCGGCAAAGAAGCAGATCTGGGTGCCGGACAAGAAGCTGGAGTGGGTGTCGGCCTGGAAGCAGATCTGGAAGCCGGCTAAGAAGCAGATCTGGGTGGACGACAAGAAACTGGTCTGGAAGGAGGAGTGGAAGCAGATCTGGAAGCCGTCGAAGAAGCAGATCTGGGTTCCGGACAAGAAGCTCGAGTGGAAGGAAGCTTGGAAGCAGATCTGGAAGACGGACAAGAAGCTGGAGTGGATCCAGGACAAGAAGCTGGCTTGGAAGGAGGCCTGGAAGCAGATCTGGGTGCCGGCCTGGAAAGAGATCTGGGTGCCCGCGTGGAAGAAGATCTGGAAGCCCGTTTGGATCTCCGAGTGGTTCCCGTCCGAGGATCATCATCATCCTCACGGGGGATGGGAGGACCGCAAGGACGGTCAGGTTAAGGGCACGCAGCTCGTTCCTTACAGTCCGGAGGCGGTCTCGAAGCAGAACGCCGTGACTCAGCAGCGTCAAGTCGACGAGAACAAGGTCAGGTGGGACAGATCGTCGAAGCCAACCGTGAAGGACATCAGCCAGGACCTGGTCCCGCCGCCCCTAGCCGCGAATCAAAATGGCGCGCCCGCGAACTTCGCGTTCCCCAATCACTGAACGCACCATCGCCCCCCCCCCTCCATAGAATGCTTGTACAAAAGATCTGTCCGAGATAGTATTGTATAATAAGCCGCTGTATATATTACCGTAGGTCTACCGATAAGTTCTAGAGAATTAAGCGTTTCCCCAATCGATTAATCGACTGACACGATCCTATCACTACTCCCTTCGACGAGATTGTCTCGCATCTAACGTATCCATTATGTATAGTTTTTTTATACGATGTTGTTGTTACCCTACTTTGTTAACCGATGCCGTTGAGAATAAAGTTGGTGAATATTTTGTTAAACCGGCCCGTTGGTGTCTCTATTCTCTCGAGTCTGTTTTCATCGAACTAAACCTTCGCGCTTCCTTTTAGCAATCGAAATAATCGTCACGGAGGCAAAAATTACCAAATGGCCTATTGTCGAAGAAGTCTGCAAAAGCGGAACGTTCGGCTGATGAACATTGGGACGAATTGTCGTCAGTTTGAATATACATTCGTTACTTTCGTTACTTTCGTTGCTAGAAGGATTGGACTTCTAACAAGCGGACACCCTAACCGAGCGTGGCTCTCGGCTACGCTAACTTCGTTTAAATCTCTGCACGGTTTGCTCGAACCTACTCGACGTTGCAACAATTAGGCGACGCCTCTCGGACAAATCCACATGCATAGATCTATACCGAATCGAAATGTTCGAAGACGTAATCGTCGGTTTCTAGAGAGGAGGCAGTTCTCGACAACTTTCTTCTGGCCGTTTCTCTATCGTCGCGATTTCAGCCACTACCAGCGTTAACATCGTCAGCCGGCTAATCTCCGGTGTTACGGCCGACCGGCGATAAAAATGCGTTAACACCTTCTCATTATTATTTCGCCCAGTCATCGTGGTGCCCACGCTCGACATGACGCAACGCGGGCCCCGCCGCGAAACCGGAGAAAGTCGAGATCCGTTTGTGTGGAAGGAAGCCGAGCTCCTATATGGGGAGACCTCGACCGTGGAGAAAGTGTCCGTACACCTACACAGTGTCGCGCGTTCCGACGACATAAATTAATTCGTGCTGGTGTAACCAGCGATGGGCCCGAGAATGCGAGTCCAGAGATGGGAATGACGCTCTCTCGCGCGCGTCGATTGTTCTTAAAAAGTATCCCTGGAAGCGCGTCAAATAATTGGTAGAAATCGAAACAATGATTAGTCGAAAGATGTCTTCCGAGTTAGTCGAAATGTAGGTAACTGGTACTCGTAAAATCAATCATGCTTCAATTGATTTTTGATTTAGCTACTCTTGAAAAGTGTCCCTGAAAGCGCGTCAAATAATTGGTAGAAAACGAAACAATTGTTAGCCGAAAGATGTCCTCCGAGTTAACCGAAAGGTAGCCAACTGGTACTCGTAAAATCGACCATGCTTCACTCGATTTTAGATCAAAGAAGACCATGCTCTACCTCTCAGAATGATTTTCACGCGGAGCTTTGATATTCCCAATTATACGATCGCGAATCTATGTGAATTTGAACGAAGCTTGTGTTCGAAGCATTACAAAACGAAGGTATTGTGTATCGAGCGGCTAGCACAGGTAGACCGCTTTCATTTCAAGAAACTTATTTGCCACAGAACCATTTATATGAATGACCCAAGAAAGTCACTTTACTGCATTCGACATACCTAGTCGTTACGTTCTTATAGTAAATTCTGTTGGACGGAGTCTAGCGGTACGGATATTCTCTTGTCAATTTTCTGTTTTCACCGATTAGTTCTTAACAAAAATCCGGAAGCTCCACAATCGACGGACGACCATTTCGACGGCGCCGTTTGTATAAAATTGGAACGCTTTGTCATTCGATGGCTCGAGCAACTTCTCGCAAAGCGTAACAATTTTCCAGGAAAATTAGGAAATTAGGAAAAATCAGGAATTACGAGATTCGGGGAAGATTTCCGCGGCTTCCGGAAATGACGAGTAACCGGAAGCTGGAAATTCTAATCCTCCCAGCGGCTTCAATTTGTTGATAACCGAATTCTGTGTCTCGTTGAAACGAAACTTCGTCCCATTGTGATTCCGTGCTTCGCGCGAACAGAATTTTGTCGCGAAGACACTGGATTTAATACAAACGGAACTTGATCCCATCGCTAGGTGCAACCTCGCCGCGTCAAATGGCAAACGGTTGATCGTGAGCCGCGCGAATCCGCGACGGAATCGACTGCAAAGTCCGACACGGGAGAAACTGTGCCCGATCCAGCCATCGGGGGTCAGACTTTTCATCGCGAGTGTCGTTCGATCGGGACACAGCCGGAGAAATGTCGTGTGTGTATTTTCTAATCGATCCTGTCGATTGCGGTTTTCACTTTCCTCGTGGTCCTCTTTCTCTCCGCGCGTTCCGCGTCACGCTTTATCGTATCTCCTACCTCGTACACACCGGAACACGACGAATCTCGGATGCTCGTAATCCAAGATAATTATTATCCAGCCACGAGAACCGTAAGGAAGAACGTTCGATAAATCAAACGTGAAAATTGTGAAAGGAAATTCTATTAATTCAAGATTTATCGCTCCGAGGTATAAATCTCTATGGTAGCGACGTGCCCAAGTACGGAAGGAAAAGTTGATTGCGATGGAAATTGCATGTAATTGTGTGCCCGTAGATCAGAGACTCTTTAGCTGACATTTATGATCGCACAGCCTCCGTTTGGATACGTACGTCAAACGATACGCTCGTCTTTACTTCCGACGTCGATCATTTTCTCTGTGCCGCGACGCGAGGGTCCGCGTTCAAGGTCGTTTCCCTCGAGAAAATTCTTTTCACAGCGCGAACACGCATTCAAATGGAAATCGCTGCGCGTTGAACGGCCGTCGATTACCGCGATAACGATCGTTTTTTACGTCTTCGACAGCCTTCTCCGACGCGTTAAATCCGCGCGCGAGACAATTCCCAATTAAGGTCGAGTTTTACTCGTTTCCGTCCTTTAACTTCTTGCGCCGCGATTTCCTTCGGAACCGCGTCGATCGACGCTTCTTCGTCCATAATGATTTTCCCGATAGAATCGGACAATTTTCGTCTCTTGCATGTCCTTCGTTTAACGTCGTCCCTAGACTTGGATAACGGAAGAATCATATAGTAATGTCTCCCTAATTGACGCTCAGATTGTGCAGAAAAATGGACAATTTGGAAAGTGGAGATACGATTATGCGAGCCTCGCGTCTCATTTTTATAGTTACCGATTTTCAACGACTATAAAAACGAGACGCAAGGCTCGAATAATCTTCCTCTTAATGAGGCTCCTAATTAGGCTCGTCTTCCCAAATTGTCCATTTTTGTAAATATTCTGAGCGTCAATTAGGGAGAATTCACTGTAACTGATAAATAGACGCAAGAATTTTCGAATATGGATAACGTTCATGTTTATTAGATCGTTTACGAAATCTTCGTCATGTGTCGGACTCGTTGTTACAGCGCAAGGGATTAAATCAGTATTTGGCGTCACCTTAGCATCGATACCGATCGGTCGAAACGAACGCGATACTATAAAACGTTACAGCGTTAGAAAGCGACAATAATCGAATAATAATAGGCTGCTGTCTGATCGCGCCAATGAGGCGATTAGATCTCTCGCAATGGCGATTGTGTGGAAAACTGAACGACGATTAAAGCCATCGTAATCAGTGATTATCAATTACCGAGAGACGATTGATGTTCTATTGTGTTTGCGTTACATCGAAATTACTATCGCATACGTTTAATTTAAGGGAATGTTTAGGAACAAAATTGCTATAGTTTAACGCTAGATTTACAGAGCACAAAAAAAACAGTCGTTTCATATTAGCATATAAAAGTAACAATAAGACATTTATTCCCATTTTTAACAAATGTTATTGTAACATTTGCCGTAAGTAACACATATAGATTGAATAAATAACTCATAAATGTATCTTTATGGTATGAATAATCGTAAATTTTTAAAAATTAGTGACCCGCCATTTTGACGGGTTCCGTAAATCTAGTGTTAAATCACTGTGGGAACGATGCTATCGAATCCATTGATATAGTCCGCAGAATGATAGTACACGCGATCGTTACAAGATCGTTGGAACAGTACAATAGTGGAACATCGAAATATCGGCAGGTGATGGTAATAGTGGTTCCACCGTGGTTACATTGAAATGGTAACGTAAAGATCCACTTTGCGGAGTCGCGGCCGCAAATGCCACTTGTGGAACATGTTCCACCGTTTGTTCTACAACCACGCTCATGAATATTAACCGGCGAGCGATTATTTGGAATGCTTCGTGCGTGTAAACAGACATTTGGGGCCTAGCGAAACCTGATTCGGAGCTCCATCGACGATTCCTAAACCCGTTTTGGTAAACTTTGTCGTTTACATTTTACATTTATTAACCCTTTCGCTACTACGGACCACTATAGTGGCTTTCCATATGGTGTCACTGAGGTACTACGGATCACTATAGTGGCTTTCCATTTGGTGCCACTGAGGTACTACGGACCACTATAGTGGCTTTCCATTTGGTGCCACTGAGGTACTACGGACCACTATAGTGGCTTTCCAT